TCCTCCTCCTCCTCTTCCTCCTCTTCCTCCTCTTCCTCCTCCTCTTCCTCTTCTTCCTAGGGGTTGCAGCAACATACAGAGGCAGCCTGTGAACCTTCTGTCCCTCCAGCCCAAGCCACCCCTCCTTCATAGGCCTCCCTACCCCTCCACTCCAATGTTTTCAACTCTGTCACAAGCTCTTTGGATTTCTCTGAAGTCCAAGGGGTTTTGTTCTATGAGACAGGATCTCACTATGTAGCCCAGGCTGGCCTCGAACTCTCAGTTCCTCAGCTTCAGCCTCCCGGGTGCTGGGATGAGAGGTGTATACATCACTGTGCCCATATCAACTATGAAGTTTGTTTTTGTTTTAAGGCAGTGTCTCATGTAGCCCAGGCTGGCCTTAAATTTCCTTTGTAGCCAAGGATATCCTTATCTTGCAGCCACCTCCCAAGTCCCGGGATTACAGGCATGCAGCACTATACCCAGTGTTTAGCTATGAGTTAGTTTTTAAATCTCTTGGGAGGCAAACCCAGATTAAATGTCCCTCAGAGCTTGGTCTCTGGTCTCTGGACTGGCTGACCCAACTAGTCTCATTAGCTTTTAGTACCTGGCTCCTTCCCTTGATCTGAGAATGAGTTGTGTTGGGGAAGTGTCTCTGCCAAGATTTCAAATTCAAATGCACCCAAAGTTCAGTCAGGAGCTTCTGGGGGCTGGGTGGCAAGAGACTGAGAGGACACAGTGACCACCGGACAGTGGCCTTCCAGAGAGGATGGTATGGCCCAACATGGCTGATGGAAGTAACACCCTAAGGTAGGATTCTTTGGTCTCCAGTGGTCAAACTTCTTGATCAGGGACGGGGAGTCTTTAAACTCGGCCAAGGAGCCACACCGTGTGTGTGTCGGAAGACCTGGATCCCCGGTGGCTTAACCTGCCTGGACCTTGTCCCCACCTCATGGCTCAGAAGTCATTTAAGGAAGGAGATGAGGTGAGGCTTGTGACTGAGGGTGGCTGGCAAGTGTCAGAGGCTCCACCCACCACAGCAGAAAGGTCCGTTTGTCCTGGGAACAGGGTGCACAGCCGGGCTAAGGCAGTGAGGTGAGGGTTAATGAGCAACCCAGAGGTCTGGACATGGAAGCTGCTGGCTTGGTGGCCTGAGGTGTCAGGGACAAGAGCTGGCTGACAAACACAGCGGTTGGCTGTCCACACCGGCCCTCCACTCCCCTCCTCACCCTCATCACAGCCAGCAACCCTGTGACTTTAGCAATGGACTTGATTTCTCCAAACACGTTGCGGATCATTGGAACGGTTTTTGTCCAGGTAGTCATACGTTCTGTGGTGGAATGACGTCACGGTAGCTTTGCCACCACTGCTGCAGTCTCAGGGGACTTCTTTTACAACCATCGGAATGATAACAGAGCAACGGTATCTCACACACATCAGATCTACCAGGAGAAAAGTCTATACCTCTCCCCACAGCTAAGCGAAGGCACAGAGAGGCTGACTGACTTCCCCAGGGTTACTCAGCCAGGAAGAGGTGTAGCTACTGTGGGCTGCAGAGCCTGGCTCCAAGATCTGTGTTCTGAATCCTGAGTGCACGGCCTCGCCCTAGGAGCTCTGTGCCTAGTCTGCTTTGCTTCATCCTGTTTCATTGAAAATTAAAAATTGAGCTGGAGAGATGGCTCAGCGGTTAAGAGCCCTGACTGCTCTTCCAGAGGTCCTGAGTTCAATTCCCAGCAACCACATCGGTGGCTCACAAGCCCTCTTCTAGTGTGTCTGAAAACAGCTGCAGTGTACTCATGTACATAGGATAAATAAATCTTTAAAAAAAAAGAAAATCAAAAATTGCATTTGTTTATTTACTATCTCTGTGTGTATGAGTGTGGATGTGTGTGTATATATGTGTGCATGTGTGTATGTGTGTATATGTGTGTGCATATGTATGTGTGTATGCATATATGTGTGTGTGTGCATGTGCGTGTGCGCGTGCATGTGTGTGTGTATAGATCAGAAGTCTTTTTTTAGCATCAATTCTGTCCTTATACCATGTTGGTCCTGGGAACTGAACTCAGGTCATCAGCTTGGTGTTCATACCTGGCAGCAATTCCCGATGTGGAACTCATGGCAATCCTACTGTCTCAGCCTCTGAGGTGCTGAGATTACAGGTACACCAGCACCTGGCTTATTTTATTACTTAATATTTTTTCTTTCTTTTTTTTTTTCCTCATCTTAGCCCCCTCCCTCCTTTCCACCCTCACACCCCTCCCCCATTCTCCCATCCCCTTTTCCTCAAAGAAGGAAGCCCTCCCCCCCGCCGCCGCAATGATGCCAACCCGCCCTGATACATCAAGTCACAGCAGAATTAAATGCATTCTTTGCCCCCAGGCCAGACAAGGCAGCCCAGCTACAGGAAAGGGATCCAAAGGCAGACAACAGAGTCCGAGACAGCCCCTGCTCTAACTGTTAAGGAACACACATGAAGAACGAGACAGCCCCTGCTCTAACTGTTAAGGAACACACATGAAGAACGAGACAGCCCCTGCTCTAACTGTTAAGGAACACACATGAAGAACAAGCTGCTCATACTTTTTCTTTAAAAAAAAAAAAAAAAGATTTAGTTTAGCATACTGGTGCATGTCTTTAATCCTAGCACTCGGGAGTCTGGGGCAGGAAGATCTCTGTGAGTTCAAGACCAGCCTGATCTACATAGTGAGTTCCAAACCAGCCAGGGTTACATAGGGAGACCCTGTCTCAAAAAAACAAAAAGGTACCACCACCACCACCACCATCATTATTATGTTTTTGGAGACTAGGTTTCTCTGTATAGCCCTGGTGGTCCTGGAACTCTATGTAGACCAGGCTGACCTCGAACTCACAGAGATCTGCTTGCCTCTGTCTCCCAGGTGCTGGGATTAAAGGTGTGCACCACCCAGGGCCAGCTTATTACTTTTAATTATGTGTATGGTATGTGTGGGTGTGTGCACAGGAGTGCAGGCGCCCATGGAGGCATCAGAACCGCGGGAACTGGAATCACAGGCTGGCGCGAGTTGCCTGATATGAGTGCTGGGGACTGAACCTGAGTCGTCTTCAAGGGCAGCACAAGCTCTTAACCACTTAGCCAGCCCCTCCAACCCTGTGTGTGTGTCTGTGTGTGTGCATGTAAGTGCATGTATGTGCAGTAGTAATCCTAGCACATGGGTGGTGGCGGGTGGATGTTCAGTGTTGTCTTCATTTGCATAGCAAGTTTAAGGCTAGCTGGACTACACAAGATCTATTTCAGGAAAAAACTAAAGGGACTCCACTCCTGGAGGCTTGTGGTAGAGAGCGTGTCTGATGTGCAAGAGCCTTGGAGTTTGCTCTTGGTATACCGTAGGCACATAATAAATGCAGATTCTTGTCTACAGCTGAGGTGCTTCACCAGGAAGCCCTTCCCAGATTCCTTCTTACAGGCACTATGGAGACCCTGCCTTCTGTGTCCCCAGTGCCTTGTGCAAGACCGGGTGATGGTCAAGGATGGGGTACAGGCTAACGTGAGGGCAGAGGTGAGTTGGGCAGAGTCCTAGTCACAGATCACGGCAGCTCCAGGTCTCCAGGGGTAAGTCGTTAATCCTGGGAGGGGAAAGGTCATAAGTCCCCAAGGAAGACACAGGACACCTGTGTTGCCTGGTCCTTCCTGAATCTTGCCTCTCATCTTATATCTGGGGAAACTGAGGCTCAGGACGCACACCAGGGTCTCAGCCTTGTTCAGTAGGTTGGGGACAGAAGGGGCACAAGAGTCTGACTGTGGAGCTTGGAGCACGCAGATTTGATTAGGCTGACTAGGCGGAGAGTTCAGTGTCTACTCACACAGTGCCGGGATTAGAGACACACTACCTCATCTGGCCCTTTTACACGGGTGCTGGAGAGACAAACTGGGGTTCTCACACATGCCTTCTCCCCAGAGCCATCTCCCCAGACTCTCCACAGTACTTCTGTGACCCCAGAACTCAGCATGGCTTTCCATTCCCTGTCAACCTCCACCCCAACATCCCACAGGCTCCCACCTCCAATAGCAAGGGCATACCGAGGCCTGGGAGAAGGTAGGGGACACACTATCTTGTTTGAGGTTAAAGGTCTCGGGACTTGGCGAGTGATAGGTGTCTGGTAAATATTAATTTATCCAGTGCACGGAGGAGTGAGCAGCCGTTACTCTGAACAGTAAATAACACCCAGGCTTCCTCTGCTAGGCTGTGAGATGGCAGGGACGGGGACATGATGTGAGAGCCATTCTTCCTATCCAGACTGGAGGACGCGACAGCTGCTGGCTTGGCTCATCCTGTCTCCTTTCTGTCTTCCTTGTTCCTTCCTTCTTTCCTTCCTTCTTTCCTTCTTTCCTTCTTTCCTCCTTTCCTCCCTCCCTCCCTTCCTCCCTTCCTCCCTTCCTCCCTTCCTCCCTTCCTCCCTTCCTCCCTTCCTCCCTTCCTCCCTTCCTCCCTTTCTCTCTCTCTTTCTTTCTTTCTTTCTTTCTTTCTTTCTTTCTTTCTTTCTTTCTTTCTTTCTTTCCTTCTTTCCACAGGGTTTCTCTCTATATAGCCCCAAACTGTCCTGGAACTTGCTGTATATACCAGCTTGTTCTTGAATTCACAGAGATCTGCTTGCCTCTACCTCCCAAGTATTAAAGACAGGTACCACCATGCCTGGCCTGCATCTTTGTTTTCTTGTCTCAAACATAAGCTGACCCCAGTGTGGATCAGGGAAAGTGGCCTGACCCAGCAACTGCTCTGAACCCTAAGTCAGATCTGAGGTGCCTGTGTTATGAAGGAGTCCAAGATGAGGGGCTATACTCTCCCTCTTGCTGGCCAGCCCACGTGGATGTATGCTTTCTGAACCTCCATTTCCCCACCTGCCAGATGAGCCCGGGTCGTTCACGAGCCGTGAGCTGCATGAGGGTTGAATATCCCCACAAGTTTATCTTGGTCATTTTTTTGTTGTGAGTCCTCACCAGGATCCCAGAATCAGGAGCTGTCCCTTTAACAAGGAGGAGGGGCCAGGCCCTGGTAGCGGAAGCTGATCTGGTAGTCTGGCAGTCCAGATTGGTCTTGGCTCGGCTATCCTTTGGGAAGGTAAGGGAGGCATTGTGGGAGTGGCTGGGGACCGTGGGACCATGTGTTGGGCCGTGAGTGGGTGTGAGTGTGGTTACTAGCCTAGTAACATCTGTCCTATCTTGTCACCCACAGGAGGCAGGCCGTGTGGACCCTGAGGGTAGATAGCAGGTTGTGCTGTCTGGAAGGGCAGTCAGTTAGCTTGGCTTTCTAGTCATTTTCCTGACTTAGCTGCTGTATGCCACTAAACAGCCCACAGGGAAAGGATTCCAGGACTGTTGGGGTCCGAGTGAGGGCTGGACCGGATGAACAGTCCTTTCAAGTGTAATCTAGTCAGAAAGTCGCAGGGCCCTAGCTAGTCAAACCCTTTTACATGGGGTGCTGGAGAGCTAAACTTGGCTGAGCGGTGAGAGGTGGGGTCCCTGGGTCTTGGCTCAGCTGGGTCCCCACCCTGACAGTGGTAAAGTGGCTGTTCTCAAGAGAGGTCTGGGGACAGAGCCAGGCGTTTCAGCACTTTTCCCCTTGCTGCTTTTGTTTGTCCAGAACAGGGTTTCTCTGTGTGGCCCTGGCTGTCCTGGAACTCTCTCTGTAGACCAGGCTGGCCTTGAACTCACAGAGATCCACCAGACTTTGCCTCCCGAGTGCTGGGATTGAAAGTGTGTGCCACCACCACCACCTGGCGAGTTTCAGCTCTTACAGATAATTGTGAATGAAGTAGCAAACTGTCTCATTTTGAATGAATGATGATGATGGTGGTGATGATGGTGGTGTTGACGAGGAAGAGGAGGATATCAACACTCCAGAAGTTAAGATGCCACACAGCATGGAAGCCCACACCTGCATTGGAACTCTGAGCCTGTGGCCTTGTGTACCAACCCCTCTGGGTCACTAGTGATAAGATGGAGTTAAATACAGGCCTCTGTCAGGGTTTCTCCGTGCCTTCTGAGATAAGAAAGCAGAAGCTGGGCATAGCGCCCAGCTCCCAGCAAGCCCCGCACAACAGTTAGCCTTATCAAGCAATGCAGGTACAGTGAACACGGGTTGAACTTAATGCTCTCAAGGACCCTGTGTTGCCCATAGCTGTCCAGTGTGTGGCGTGGTTCATAATTAGCTCATTCTTATCCTTCCAGTCCAAGAGGCCTCTCCTGACCCCATACCCGAAGGAGGCTTTTTTTAAAGATTCATTTTACGTATATGGTTGCTTTACCTGTATATATATCTATATGTACACCAGAAAAAGGTCATCTGATCCTATGAGACTAGGATTACAGATGGCTGTGAGCCACCAGGTGGTCACTGGGAATTGAACTCAATACCTCTGGAAGAGCAGACAGTCCTCTTAACCACTGGGCCATCTCTCCGGCCTCCGTATGGTGGCTCATAGCCATCTGTAATGAGATCCCAGGACCACCAGCCTAGGGATGGAACCGCCAACAGTGGGCTGGACCATCACACATCAATCACCTACGAAGAAAATACACCAAGGGCCTTCCCACAGTCTAGTCTTGTAGGGTCATCTTCTCAGCTGAGGGTCCCTCTTCAAAAATGACTCTAGATTGCATCAAGTGACATAAAAACTAGCTAGCACATGAAGTCTGGAGACCTGGTACAGCTCATAGGCCCCTTTCCCTGTGAGATGTGCTGAAGGAGATGACATGGGTTGTGTTTGCCTTGTCTGAGGCGTTCCAGGACCATCCTGACAAAGGGTCAGATTCATGAACAGATCGTAGTTCCCCTTATTCAAGTCACTTAAATAAGAGGTCCTGGTTCAAGGGCAGGAGGGAAGGGTGCAGCTCATGCTCCCTGGTGGCACACCTTGGAACTGCAAAGGGCCTGACCAATCTTTTCATCCCTCTGTTTGGTGGTTTGAAACAAAGTTTTCTTGATACGTAGCTGAGGCTAGCCTGGAGGTTACTTACTTTGTAGCTCAGGCTGCCCCTGAATTCATAGATCTGCCAGCCTCTGCTTCCTGTGGGATGGGAGGTGTGTCCATCACCACGGCTACCTGTCCCCTCTTTTAACTTTGCTCTCTCCTTCCACCTTAAAGTGGTTCCTGGAGATCGAACCGAGGTTATCACACTCCTGTGACAACATTTGCTGAGCCATCTCACCAGACTCCTTTTATTACACCTTCTGTAAATTATTTTTTGTATGCACATGTGTTTGCCTGTGTGCATGTCTATCCACCACGTGCATGCAGCGACAGAAAAGGCCACAAGAGGGCATCAGAGCCCCTAGAACTGGAGGGACCTAGAGAGGGGGCGGGACCTGAGAACAACGAGGGTGAGGAGACTTCAGGTGGTGGTGACTCTAGGGAGACAGGCTTCAGGGAGCAGCTCGTTTAATTGGGTTGAGGAGGGGAGACAAGGGTTTCTTAAACCTTTAGGGGTGAGTAGGGGCAATTGGGGTGAGTGTACAGCACTGGTGGGGACTGGGCTGCTGGGGATGCCTCATTTGCATAGGGAGGAGTTCCTGGTGCTTGCTGGACTTGACTTTATAAGGAAGGAAGACATTTAACCTGGCTGCAACTAGTGACCTCTTCTGGTGTGGCCAGAGATGGAGGGCACAGGACCACATGTGCAGGAACATGCAGGCCCAAGGCAGGGAGGGAGTGGTCCTACTCCTTCCGATCTCAAGGTTTCCGGGGTTGGACACAACTCGATCCCACTTCTGCTCTGGACTGGCTCTGACAGGTTCCATGGTTCCCTGGAGCCATAGGCTGTGCGCACTCCATAGGGTGCCGAGAACTGAACCTGGGTCCTTTGTGAGAGCAGCAAGTGCACTTAACAGATGAGCCATCTTTATAGCCCCCCCTTTTTTTGTTTTAAGACAGATCTTGCATAGCCCTGGCTAGCTTGAAACTTGTTATGTAGCCGACATAACGTCGTCACCTCAACAAGTTTGGACGGATGCAAACCATTGTAAAGCTACCTGCATACTTAAAGGGCAAAACAAAACCTTATGGGACAGTGTGGTGTCATACCATTATAATCCCAACACTAGGGAGGTTCAGACAGGAGGATGGTGGGTTCCAGGCTAGCCTGGGCTATCTATGGAAAGCCTATCTCTCAACAGCAACTACAATCAAAGCATCTTGGCTTTTAGAGATGTGGGTTGTGGCTCCTACAGAATGGATAACTGGGAGAAGGGCGTAAGATTGCCAAGGGCAAAGGTGAAGGGGTAAGGAAGGCCTGGACTCCCCGGCCCCTGCTTAACCAGTGTTTTTATGGGAAAACAGTGAGTGAATGAATGAATGAATGATTTTTAAGTATTTTTTGATCACACTCTGTCCCCAGCACTGTGGGCAGCCACAGACATTAAATGAAGGGCACCCAGGATAATCTGCCTTGTTCAAATTGGGAAACCAGAGTGCAGAGAGGGGCAGATATTTGCCTGGACTTTGAAGCTTGGATGCTGGATAAGATTTGGAGTGGACGGGCTCAGGGGCCTCGTCCTCCCTCCCCCATCATGGCTAAAGAGTCTGAACACTGCAAACCCCTTCTGCCTCCTTGCAGGGCATCAGTGTGCCGCTGGAATGGAGGAAGCCTTGGCAGAGCCTTTCCACAGGGTCACACCCCTGCTGGAGAGCTGGGCGCTGTCTCAGGTGGCAGGCATACCCGTCTTCCTCAAATATGAGAACGTGCAGGTAGCTGGCTCCTTTAAGATCCGGGGCATTGGACATTACTGTCAGCAGGTGAGGAAGTGCAAGCACCATGGTACCATATGGGGGGTGGGGAGGACTATCGGGTGCGGGTGGAGCACCCAGTCACATCCCACAAAGGTTTCCATGACTGGCGTGACCTCTCAACTTCATCCTTTCTTCATCCAGATGGCCAAGAGGGGATGCAGACATCTGGTGTGCTCCTCAGGTGACCTCACCCCCTCTCTGTTTTATTGGGAGTCCTTGGGACTGGGGTGGGGGCAGGGGAGCCAGCTAGGGCAACGGTCAATGTCCAGGGCTTGGCTTCCCTTTCCTTCCTTCTTCCTTCCTTCCTTCCTTCCTTCCTTCCTTCCTTCCTTCCTCCTTTCCTTCCGTCCTTCCTTCTGTCCTTCTTTCTTCCCTTTGTTACAGGCTGACAGGACTCTGGATCCTCCCGTGTCTATCTCCTGAGTACAGGATTACAGATCTGCATCACCAGGCCCAACCAAGGATGAGCCTCCTCAGGTCAAAGTCTCAGACAGCTACACCATCTGCTCTTAAGTCCTTTCCCCATGATCTGAGACTTATGATGGTCACAGACGACAGGGATCCACCTCACAGAGGTTGAAGCCCTAGGCTCCAAATTCTGAACACTCTTTGCATAACTGGCTCATCTCTTCTGCCGCTGTTGCTCTTGCTTTTTCTTTCCCCTCTCCTCTCGTCTGGGCTACAAACTCATGTCTGTAGCAGTCACGGGTCAGGAGGTTGCGTTCTCTAATTGGCTTGACGTAAATCAGCAAGGTGTGTGTGTGGGGGGGCACAGATACACAGGTGACTTATGGGGGACTGGGGGAGTGGGGGAGAAGGGGGGCACGAGAAGTCTGAGGAACTCCTTTCCTCATTGTTCCCAGGGGGCAACGCGGGCATTGCGGCGGCATACTCGGCTCAGAAGCTGGGCATCCCCATCACCATCGTCCTCCCAGAAGGCTCCTCCTTGCAGGTGGTGAGGCGGCTGGAGGGAGTGGGGGCCGAGGTCCAGCTAACTGGGAAGGTAAGAGATGGCGCTGGCAGACGCAAGGGGGAGGGGCTGGGGAGGGGCTGGGGGAGGGGCTGGGGGAGGGGCTGTGTCCTCCCCCTACTCCACTCCAGGACATCGACTCCATTTATTTTGGGTGAACACTGGACTAGAAACAGTGTCTTGGACTTCAGTCTTCTCTCAGGAGGGCAGAGAGAAGGGAGAAGGGGCGGGACAGGGGTGTTGCACTTTGAGGGCTCAGACCTCTTCCCCACTTTAAGAAGACTCCTGTCAGAGGCCTGGGGTGTGTCTCCCTAACCCCTCTCATCACAGGCATACCGGGACCTGAAAGGCTGGCAGTTGATAAGACAAAAGCCTGTGGGTGATGACTGTGCCATTTCTTGTTCTGAGACCCCAGTGAGAAAATAACGGGACCTCTTTGAGGGAGCCGGAGCCATAGTAAACAAAGCTGCTTCTAAACACCTCACTGTGCAGCTCCCGGCTCCACCCCAGCCTTTTCCTCACTTCCTCTGCTTCCTTCTGTTTGTTTGGTTTGGTTTTCCAAGATAGGATTTCTCTGTGCAGCCTGGCCGTCCTTGAACTCGCTCTGTAGAGCAGGCTGGCCTCGAACTCAGAGATCTGCCTGCCTCTGTGTCCCAAGTGCTGGGATTAATTAAAGGCTTGCGCTGCCACGCCCCACTCATCTCTGCTTCTCTACTTCCTTCTCTTTATCAACCACCTGCTCACCCACTCACACATCCATCCATCTATTCTGGAACAGGGTGGCATGTCTATGCCCCCTGGGATTTACCCCTCTGGGCTCAGGGACACAGCAGTTCTGCCCCAAACCCTCAATCCTTATGGGTGGAGTCTGTCCCAGGCACATGCTCCCTGCATTCACCGTCCACCTTGGTCACACCCCAGGCAAGCTCTATGATCAGGACATGCCCAGAAGGTGAGCTCTGGGTGACGTATGGTGTGCACAGGTGTCAGGGCCAGCCTTGTCTACGCTTCAGCTCACCCCAGGTGCCACCATCAGGGGGCAAAGGCTTTCACGGATCAGCTGCAGGGACCCAGCTGATCTGTGGGGTTGGTGACCCCTCCTGTAGGCCTGAAGAGGGTTCCATGTGACCAGCCCTAGAGTACATTGGCTCTGCACACGCCGAGCTGTTCTGGCCCTGTGGTCACACAGCATTCCGGTCCCTTTGAGTTTGAGGGAGACACGTGGTATCCTCTGGCCCATTCGGAGGTTGCTGTCCTCATCCTGGGAGGTGTGGTCTCCCTCGGGGGACCTATAGAAGACAGGGGGCGGGGCCTCCACCAGTCTCTGTGGGGCCTCTACTCTTTAGGTCTGGGATGAAGCCAACGTCAAGGCACAAGAACTGTCCACAAAGGATGGCTGGGTGTACGTCTCCCCATTTGACCATCCCCTGATATGGTAAGGCTGTGGCTATGTTTCTAGGGAGCCAGAGCGGGGGGGGGGGGGGCCGGGGGACCCTCATTGGACAGAAGAGGAAACTGAGGCCCAGAAAGGAAAAGATGCTTCAAAGCCAAGCAGACATGGGTTCAAACCTGGCTGCTTGGGATGTGTTTTATGTAAAGCACCTCACGGGCCATGCCTCGGTTTCCCCACTGGTGAAATGGACATTGTAACATGAAGTATCCTCTATTGAACCCATGCTTGGGGCTAGGCACAGGGTGCTGGCATTCACTCACTGTCCACTTCTCTTCTGCATGGAATAAGTAGCTCCTGGGAAGCCTGCTGGGGCACAGAGAGGTCAAGACACTAGCCCGAGGACACACAGGTGGTCAGGGAGCAGAGACAGGGTTCTGCTTCCAGAACCCAGCTCGTCCCTCTTAACTGATGAGGGGGAAAGGCAAGAAAGATGCTGGAAGGATGATGGGGAGATTTCTGGGTGGGTGAAGGAATGAGTGGACAGTGAGCAAGGGTGAAGTCCAGGGGACCCCCTCCTGCATCATCTTGCCTCTGAGTGGCCAAGGAGGGGTCACCTATCCTGGAAGTCCCATCACATATCCCCCTTGCACCCCACAGGGAAGGCCACGCCAGCCTAGTGCGGGAGCTGAAGGAGTCACTGGGGACCCCTCCAGGTGCCGTGGTGCTGGCCGTGGGGGGCGGAGGACTCTTGGCGGGTGTGACTGCTGGCCTGTTGGAGGTAGGCTGGCAGCATGTGCCCATCATTGCCATGGAGACCCGTGGGGCACACAGTTTCAACGCGGCTTTGCAGGCAGGCAGGCTGGTCACTCTGCCAGACATCACCAGGTAAGCCTGGGTGGGCATCTGAGGGGGTGGAGGGTGGGGACATCTTTAGCCTGTGGTCTATTTGTCCAAGTGGGTGTGGGGTTCAGGCACCCTACAGGTCTGCTTGTCCTGCAGTTCCAACCGCCGTCACGAGGATCCAAGTTAGAGGGTGTGAAAAAAATAGGGTTTGTGGGTGCACCCTGCCATCCTGGCACTTGAGAGGTTGAGGCAGGGGGCTTGAGAGCGAGGGTCCAGCCTGGGCTAGTGTATATAGAGAGAGACCCTGCTTCAAAAACATGTATAGGTAAGGCAGTCAAGGAAAAGGCCCGGTGTTACCTCTGAGTGCACACTTGCACACACACACAGACACACACATGCACACACGTATCTGAGTGTGTCTGGGCCTGCTGATGGGGACCCGGTCATCACAGGATGTGTGTGACCTGGGGACAGCAGGGTGGGGCTCTGACGTTTCTGCTCTTCCATCCCCTCCCCCATCCTGCAGCGTAGCCAAGAGCCTGGGAGCCAAGACGGTGGCTGCACGCACCTTGGAGTGTGCAAAGGAGTGTGAGGTCCTCTCTGAGGTGGTAGAAGACCAGGATGCTCTCAGAGCTGTGCAGAGATTCCTGGGTGAGCGAGGCCTGGTGTTCTGTCCACTCAACAGTGTCCTCGGAATCTGTGACTGGGCTGGCCGGGTTGTGGTGATGTCATGGGGCATGTGAGGAGAAACTCTCAGCGGCTTCAGGACCTTTGCACACGCCCTTCCCACATTCCTGTCTCTGGATGTCCATCCTGGCCTTATCCCCTACTGCTTGCCCATGTGATGACGAGTTATTCGTTATGGTGCCTCCTCCAGGAAGCCGCCTTGATCTCCCCACACCACCTCACTAACCAGAGACTTCCAATATACTAACCCCTCTGCCTAGTTTTTAATCTACTAGTGGGGGTGGGGGTGAAATGGCTTTGTGTCTTAGCCACTAGTATGTCCCTAAGGTCTTCCTAGCCCAGAGCCAGGCAGAGAGCAAGGTGTTTGTTGAATGAATGGGTAAATAAATGTATGAGTGGGGGAGATTACCAGTGGATAGATGAGTAATGGAAGAAAAGAAGGATAAATGGGTGGATGGATGGATGGATGGATGGGTGGGTGGGTGGATGGATGGGTGGGTGGATGGATAGATGGATGGATGGATGGATGGATGGATGGGTGGATGGGTGGATGGATGGATGGATGGATGGGTGGATGGGTGGATGGGTGGATGGATGGATGGATGGATGGATGGGTGGATGGATGGATGGGTGGATGGGTGGATGGGTGGATGGGTGGATGGATGGATGGATGGATGGATGGGTGGATGGGTGGATGGATGGGTGGGTGGGTGGATGGATGGGTGGATGGATGGGTGGATGGATGGTGGATGGATGGACAGGCAGGTGGATTGATTGGTGGGTAGATGGACACATTGACAAGCAGGCTGATGGATGACCAACCAGATGATGAGTAGGAAGGAGATGGATGAATGGCTCCTGGTTGAGTGGCTGGTTTTACAGACAAAGGCTACACTGATGATGGAAAGACAGACAGACAGACAGACAGACAAGTGATAAGAGTAAGGAGCAGATCTGTTAAAAAATAAAAGTCAGACCTGTGATTGCGGAGGAGAGGGAGGGATGGATGGATGGATGGATGGACGCCTCCTGCTGAGCGCTGACCGACAGCCCTCCCCCACCCTCCCCACAGACGACGAGCGCATGCTGGTGGAGCCTGCCTGTGGTGCTGCCCTGGCTGCCGTCTACTCTGGCATTCTGCAGAAGCTCCAGGCTGAGGGCCGCCTGAGCCAGGCCCTGGCTTCAGTCGTGGTCATCGTGTGTGGTGGCAACAACATCAGTAGCCAACAGCTTCAGGATCTGAAAATTCAGCTGGGCTGCAGCTGAAGAATCCTAGGGACCCCAGAGGTTTCCAGCGGTCCTGCCCTCTTCCTTCAGGTAGCCCTCCTGGATTGCTCTCAGTGGCTCCCTGCAGTCCAGTGAATAAACCTACCTGAGCTGAGCATTTGACCCCCAGGGGTTCTGTGTTTTTATTCCTCGGGCTACACAACCCGAAGCTCGGTGTCATAGCACGGGCCGTTCCACGGAACCTTGAAATGTGTCCCTCCATGGAGATGATGTCGCCAGTCCTCCTCACATGCTTAACTGCCAGGAACTTTTCCAAGAGCCCCTGAGTCCTTCTCAATATCCACATTCACCAAGGCCCTGTCACAGTGTGCGTGTGTGTGTGTTTGTGTGTGTGTGTGTGTGTGTGTTGACACAATACACCAAGGTCACGCGGCTGTCATGTGACTCAGACAGGTGCAGACACTAATTCTCAGTGTCACAAGGTTAGTTACATCAGCGTGGGTGCTGACGACAGTGGGTTTGGGGCAGAGCCCTCTCCTATGTCTCCTGCCGCCTCCCCTGTGGGGTCAGGTCCTCCAGACCTAGGAAATCCTGTAGCAAACAAGATGGTGTCAACTCCGTTGAAGCCACAAGGGGGCAGCAGAGTGTCTCCTATGGGGAAGCCGGCTCAGGGTGGATTTGTGTCACTGAAACCCTGGGATCCCCCTTGGCTCTAACACAAGGGGTGTGTGTGTGTGTGTGTGTGTGTGTGTGTGTGTGTGTGCTGAGGCCCTAGAAAGGGCTGGAACTCACCTTGTCTTTTGACTGGGATTTTCTGATTCCCCTCACAGCCTGCCAGGTGACAGAGCTCAACTTGGGAGTAATCACTAGACCCAGGGTGAGACTCATTTCCCTGGGGCATGTGGGCCGTGTTGCCTCTGGCAAGTGTCCAATCCTCTCTCCCTTCCTCTCGGCCTGCATCTCACAGGCTATGACTCACGTCCTTTCTCAAGGGCAGGATTCAGGCAGCCGTGACCTCCACTGTCTCAAGTGTGCTGCCTGCACTGTGTTCTCTCCTGAACCCCACAAATGGACCACACTTGCCAAGAATCCCCCAACAGACACCTGGGGATCCAACCCCGTTCCCTTGCAGCCACAAATTGTGAATCTGCCAGGAGAGAGATTTTTGGCGCTAAGAGTCCTGAAGCTGGAGGCAGCCAGACCTGAGAAGAGTTCTTGCTAATTCTCTTCTCCCTCTCCCTCTCCCTCTCCCTCTCCGTCTCCCTCTCCCTCTCCCTCTCCCTTCCTGTCTCTCCTCCTCCTCTCTCTACCTTTCCCTCCCCTCTCCCCATTCTCTCTTGCTCTCATTGTCCCTGTATTCCGAGCTGTGATATAGCCTGATGGGGGAGGGTGACCTCAGACCTGCCACATGCGCCCGCCCGTCAGTGACTGTTCTTCCCCCCCCCCCCCGCTGTGAAGCCCAACCATGAGAGTCAGGAGGACCCAGAGTCTAACCACTTACCAAGAGCACCTGTACCTCACTCAGGATTCTTACCCCATAATGACCCATGCGGCATGGACAACTGCTACCTTCATTCAAGTGAGGAAACTGAGTCAGAACAGTTGACCCACTTCCTCTGGGCCACACAGCTCAATGCATAGACTCTCTACTGTGCCCCTCCCCTACCCCCACCCCTGCCATTTGCTCGTTCTTTGCACCGTGTTGACCTCGCTCTCTGTGCTTATGACTCATATACATCCCTCAAGTCCTCCATTATGGCTGCCTCCTCCCTGAAGCCTCCCAGATTGTCCAAGTTGGCAATATTCCTCCCTTCCCCTGTCCCTGTGTCTGAGTGTCAGAGTCTATCTTCTGTCCAGGTGGTCCAGATCCCAGGTAACCCTGGTCTGGCCTCAGCTGGTGATTGTCCTTCTGGGACACCTGTCAGCTGCTGTTTGCTCCTTGCCTGGTTTCTGGAGCTGCAGATAAGAGTCCCTTAGGGCTGTTGACCCATCCTGATAATGTGTGTGTCCCTGAGCTCAGCTGAGACTCTCTGGTTGACACCCAAGGCATTTGAAAGCAGGGAGGGGGCCTGTGGGGAGAATCAGGGGACAAAGGAACTGGGGATACTGCAGCCCTGTCACTAGGACTTGCTGTAACAGGGCCGGGGCAGGCAGTGGGTGGACGTTGACTCTGATGCCCTGGGCTCTCAGTCAGGAGAGGAGAGTCTGGAAATAGATCCGGGTCAGAGGGCATTTGCCTGGGGTTGCCCAGGGCCATTACAACCTGTGTCTGCGAATGTGTGTTCCTGCTGGCATGCATCCTGCTGGCCCATTGTCCTTCTCCTCAGACACCTGGGTCCCTCCAGACCCTGTCTCATCTTCAAGCGGTGTCTGACAAAGGGGCTTTTGTCATCCTGGAGCAGGAAGTAGGAGGGAGGAAGGCAGAGTCAAACCTGCTTGGCTCATTTGCCTGGGATGGCATCCTGAGAAATGACACCTGAGGGTGACCTCTGGCTTCCATATGCGCATGCACACTCAATGTCTTACTGATGGGTGTTTTAAAGAGAGATGAGGAAGATGGGAGAGGGGGTGTTGTAGAAGACACAAAGGCTGTTTGATTGTAATAGAGTATTTAAAGGAGTCCGACCTATGTCGATATGAATCTCTAGCAGGTAAGAGGAAAAGCTATTTTGATTTTTTTTTTGACAGCACTAAAAAGCCAAGCCAGCTATTACACATTCTTGTTAAGCCACTTACCACTGAGCCACGCCTACAGCTCTGATAAGGCACGCTTTGTACCGAGGCCCAAAAGCAACGAGGGGGATGGGAAGAGCATGTGCAAAGGTCCTGAGGCAGGATTCCCATACCCACGGGCTGACTTCCTCCCCAGCTTAGGACTCACTCACTCTCCATCTTGAGCAAACTCAGCCACTGAATGGACAAAGAGGTACCCTCCCCCTTTCAGGACTCCTTACAGGAGGGTAAAGTTAGCCCTCAGCTACTAGAAGGATTGGCTGCCTATAGCACAGAGTGACCCCATGTTATGTGTGGGCCACAGTGGATGGATGACCACTCATGCAAGGATCTGAAATAACAGCCAGCCACCGGGCCCCTTACCCAGGCCAACTCGCTCAGGATGTAGATGAACAGTTCTCAACCTATCCTAACACTGCGACCCTTTAATCTAGTCCCTCCTGTTATGGCGACCGCCTCAACCGTCATCAAATGATCTTCCTCCTACTCCATAACTGTAATTTTGCTATTACTATAAAGCATCATGTAAATATTTGATATGCGACCTCTGTGAATGGGTCATTCCACCCCAAAGGGGTCACGACCCACAGGTTGAGATCGGCTGCCTTAGACGCATGCGCCGTCTAGAGCTTGGTTTTCTTGCCTATGTCTTCCCGGCTATAAATCACGGCCCCAGACTCTCCTGCTCCGGCCCTGTGGTCTACCCGGAGCCCTCTCCCTGCCTCACCTGCTCCTCTCTTCCTCAGTGTTTGTGCTGTTTAAATTCCACCAAAAATGTCACAGGCGGGCTCTGCGCCCGGCTTCCAAATTCCCTGATAAATCCAGCGGTTGGCAACCCCGGGAGACGCTTTGTGCAGCAGGGAACCCCATAAATCACCCACTGCCACTCCGGCGTGGGCAATATCTTATGTAAAAAGGTGTTTCCTGGGAGCGCCATGGGCAGGAGAATCCTATTACAGGCCGCCCCATTAATTATAGAGAGTCAAGCAGCCCCTTTCCTGCTATTTTTTATCTTAAGTCCGAAAACTGATTGCCGTCCCCAACCCTTCCCCGCCAAAAAGATCTAAAGAAAAAAAAATCCAGTGTTTGAAGAACAAATGGCTAAGCTGCTTGCTCCTTTTACAATCAGCCTGGCGGAGAGGGGGTTGGGAGTGGGAGTGGGAGTCTCTCTTATTCCTCGGAGGTAAAAGTGAAGGGGACCTTGCTGGGCCTGGTACAGTCTCTAGACACCCCAGCCCCTGGAGGTGGGCTCGACAATTAGTCTCACATTACCACAGGAGGAAACTGAGGCTGGAGTCGCAGCTTGGCTCATTCTTCTGCGATGTGGAGGTAGGCAGAAAACACACCATGCTGGGGAATAAGACTCGAGTTCAAATCCTATTTCTATTTCTTTCAGATCCCCCGCTCCCTGCCCCAGCAGGCCACACAGCGGGTGGATGGACCCCTCAGAGCCTCAGTTTCCTCTTCTGCAGAGTGGGAAGTAAGATCTTGACTGACAGCTTCCTGGAATAGTGTGTCCCCTGCCAGGGTGACTGGCAGCTTGTACCCCATCTCCTTGTCACGGGGCAATCAGAGGACTTTATTTCTTTTTCTTTTTAAGATTTATTTATTTATTTTATTTGTATGAGTACACTGTAGCTGTCTTCAGACACAGCAGAGGAGGGCATTGGATCCCATTACAGATGGTCATGAGTCATTGGGAATTGAACTCAGGTCCTCTGGAAGAGCAGTCAGTGCTCTTAACCGCTGAGCCATCTCTCCAGCCCCCATGTCAGAGGACTTTAAGATCTGTGGATGCCCCTCCCTTACAGAATCGAGCCCTCTCATTGTGCTGAGTGTGTGGGGCAGCCCCTGATGTTAGCCTACAGGGCATGTTTAATCTAGCCTCCCTTGATCTCGCAGCCGCCTCTCTTCTCAGACCCCAGAATTATAGCCCATGCCCTGCCTGGAGTCTTCTCACAAACACCAAAGGCCTCAGAACTTACTCTAGAGTGGTAGTTCTCCACTGTAGACCCTTCTGGCCTGTGGCCTGCCTCTCACATCTGGATCTGGGGAGATAAGGAGACACTTATCCTGCAGTGAAATACAGTGAGCCTCCGACTGTGGCCCAAAAACCAGTCAAATGAATTAAGAGGATAATAAGCCTGGGGATGGAGAGATGGCTCAGCCGGTAAGAGCTCTTCCAAAGGTCCTGAGTTCAATTCCCAGCAACTACATGGTGGCTCACAATCATCTATAACGAGATCTGGCGCCCTCTTCTGGCCTATAGGCATATACACAGGCAGAACACTGTATATTAAAGAAAATAGTGAGGCTGGAGAGCTGGCTCCGCAGTGAACAGCACAGGTTGCTCTTACAGAGGATCTCACAGCATTTAACAGCCCTCTGTAACTCTAGCTCCACAGGATCTAATACCCTCTCTGGCCTCT